TTAATAACATATTTCAAAAAGCATTTAAAAAATGCATTCAATTTAACATGTACAAATAAGATTAATATGTTTAAGTATATCCATCAAATTGAAATATAAAACCATATTTGTTATCTAATCAAATTATGAATCTAAAACATGCCTGCCATAAGAAAAATACAAACAACTTTCACCATTCCAAAAAGATCATTATGACCACTAGCCTTACACTGATGATGGCTAAAACCATGATATGCAACGTAATTTTGAAGTTATTTAGGAGGATGATCAATGTCCTTCCAAAAACTATAATGAAAGTATCTTATAGCTCTTTGTTCAAGGATTTGAGAAGGGCCTATTCTAGGTGTCTAACGAGTGAAATTTAAGTGATCAGGAAATTTCTAATATGAGTACAGCTATGGATATTAGATTTTGTGTAAAAAGGTGTAAACTAAAATTAATATTAAGAAGTTGGCCAACTATAGAGGTACCTTCATCATTTCTATTCGAAATGCTCATTCTCAATAAACATGAATTTTGATCATGAGAACATTAACCATCACATCTAGAGTAGTGCTGCCACGAGTAGTGGTATATGTCTCAATTAAAACTATGATAATTTTTAACCTACAAACACATGTTAATGAGTCACTTAAATTATTTTTTAATAACTTGCCATGCCAATGAATCTAACTCTTCTTTCATTGTTTACAAGTATGCGGTATGATGCAAAAGAAATATAACTACATAATGAGTTTGTTTAATATAAATTACACCAACTATAGCAAAATTGACTAGAATGCAATGTTACAATGCTAGCATGTCAATATAAATTGCAAATTATTCACAAAGTTATTTTCTAACAAAATAATAGCTTAAATTCAAAGAAAAATGTAATTTTCTAATTAAGTTAATTTAACAATATTAAATTTTAAAGAATATTCTACAAATCATACTCAGTATTTTCAACTTTAGGAGAAGGTAATAAATTACATATCCCAAAAATGCATTGTAAATAGCAATGGAAGTAATATAGTTTCTTAGCTGGATTTTCATGTAAAGTTGAGTAATTTCCTTGTAGAATTCAAATGCCTAAGTTCAACAAAATGCGTTCAAACCACCATGTGTTGAAATTTTGTCGTCATCGCTTTATCTTCAGATCCAATCTTGACCTCCCAACTGGATTTACGTTTTAAAGAATTTTGGGATTAGGGTTCCGTTTTAAGCTTTCTAATTGTTTTGTTCGCATTGTGGAGGGGTAGGTAATTGTCTTGGGATAGGGAAAGGGATGGAAGGAATATTTTTTAGTTTTGTGGGGTGATGTTGATTGAGTGGGGAGGAGATATATGTTGAGGCAAGGGTGGGATTTAGAAGGAAGGATAAAAGGAAAGTGATGCATTCATATTTTGGCTTATTTTTGTTTTGATGTAATTTGAATATTATAGTTGTGTTTTATGTTTTTTTATGCTATCCAATTATAGAGAATATCTAATAATCATGGTAGGATGTGCTTGGGCATGACAAGTCTTGGGTTTGCTAGCATTTTGGATCCTTTTGTTCTTTGGGTTGCTTGCTGCCTCTCGGTTTGGGCCTTGGCTGCTCTCGAGTTGGGCTTTGGCTGCTTTGGTTTTGAGCTGAAAATTTGGGATCTTCTTGGTGCTAGCTCATTAATGCTTGAGCTGATGTTTAGCTCATTATTGGGAGGAGTAATTACACTACTTAGCTCATAAATTTGAAAAGGTATTCTTCTTTTAGCTCATTATGTGGAGTTGGAGCTTGCCTCTTCCCCTTCTTGTGTCTCCTCGTTTATTCCCTTGTGTTGTTCTCGTGACTGGTTGCTGGGTACTGGTTCCAGTTCCCTGGGTTGCCTTCTCGGTTTCCTCCCTGGCTGCTTTCCCGTGGCTGCCTCTACCCAGTTTTTGTGTTGGCTTTTCGGTTTCTTCCCTAGTTGTTTTCCTGTGGCTTCCTCTACCTGGTTCTTGTGCTGTCTTTTGGGAATCGTTTTGTGTTGCCTGCTAGTCTTCATCTTCCCCTTTCCTGATTGGTTCGGTTGGAGGTGGAAATTGGCTATTTGGCTCCCCTTTTTCTTCTATAAATATGAGGTGTTTTTGTCATGAAGAGGTTGTTGATTAACATGAGATAAGTTGCTAAAGACCTGAGGGTTTCTTCTCTTGGAAAAGCTTGAGAGCTTGTTCCATCTCTTCCTCCTCTCTATTTCGTCTTGGCTTCTAATCTCTTCTACTCTATGCAAGTTCCACTCCACTTGTATCCTTCTGCTTGAGCTATTGGGAGACGTTTGTTGGCTGATTTGGAGAAATTTGCCGAAGGAGTTTGGTTGGACGTTGGACCCTTTTTGCTGTGGTGGACCCTTGGTTTGCAAGCCTAAGCACTTTATTATATTTTTTCTACTTCTCGTTGCATGTGAGGAAACCGCTTGCCGGTTGTTCTGAGGATAGTATTTTTATTTTATAATTTTGTTTCGTTTGATTCGATTTTTTGTTTGTTTTGGTGTTTGTTTGGATGTTTGCAATCTAGATTGAATCGAGTTTGGTTTTCATTTGTCCTAGTGTTCTCCTATTTGACTTTTCTTTCTAGTTTGCCTGCATCAGAAAGAAAGATGGAATTGGATTAGGACTTTGTTAGACTGGTTCATAGGACCGGTCCAGCCGATCCATACATGACCAGCTCAGGCAAAATATAGGCGGAACTCTTCCGCCTCCTGTACGAGTCGCTCTAGCCGCCCAATCCAAGAACTCTGATTAGGAAGGATTTAGAAGGAGTTTAGGAGGGAAATTTGAATGTAGGGACTGTTTAGATATTTCCTTTTGGATTGTATGCATTAAATAGTTTGTTTTGCTAGGATTAGGGCATCTTGAATTTGGCTTAAATTTGATCTCTCTTAGTTTTTTGGGTTCTAGCGGCGTCATAGATTTGGGAGAGATAGATCCTCCTATCAAATAGAGGATCAATTGTATCTTGGTATTTTCCGTTTCTATTTAATCAAATAATACAAATTATCTACTATATTCCTTATTTTATGTGGATTCTTGTGGAAAATTTTAGTTGTTTTCCAAAGTTTGATAGGAATTACTTGAGATCTACAAGTGCTTCCAATCATACTTGTTGTCAAGATTTTGACCCTAATCTCAAATAAAAGGAGATCTTAAATGTAAATCTCTTTTGTGTAACTTTCTATGTTCCTTTTCCATAAATTTCCTTGATTTCACAAAATTGAAGAGATGAAAGGTGTCAATTTCTTCCTAAAATCAAAAAGATGTCTCTCAATAATCAAGCTATCACATAAGAAGAGAACACGAGAAAGAGAACTGAAAAATCTACGGATATATGCTCATTTGATCAAAAGAGAATGGGGTGGAAAGATATCAAGAATTAGATTCCAATGAGGAATATCGAGATAAGAGGGGGATCTAAAAGAAAAGTGAAAATAGTCCACTAATTAAGAGAAAGGGAGGAAATAAAATAAAATTTGTTTTTTCAACACATGATAATAATAATAATAATAGTAATAATAACATCCTTCACATCTTTATAGAAATATAATTATAATTTAAATTAAAACTAATATCAAAAGAAAATTCTTCTCCAAACAAATAATGTATACCTAATAATAGCCCCTTATTATAGAATTTCCTATTCTTCTTTGTCAAAAGCAAATTCTTACAAGTTGAATGAAAATTTCTAACAACCTATAATTTTTCTTCCTGGCTTTATGTTGCAGTTTGAGTAATAAGCACAAGACCACCATAAGGATTCAACATCCATAGTTGAGTCACGTCAATGTTGTTATTAAATATTTTCTTTTGTATCTTACAATTTCACATTAAAATAGCAATTTGCACAATTATGTTGATCGCCTTACATAACTTATGGAGCTTGCAAAAAACTTTTTTTTTTCTTTGCCTTTTTATTACAAGCATTTTGTAGAATTCTTAGTAAAAGAATAAAGATTATCATGAATTTAATCCTCTTGACACAATCATCCTATCTGTCTCTTTATTCTTATGAAGTCCTTTGCACTTCTTCTCTTCTATTTCACTACTCTCATTCAAATTTGGCAAATTTATTCTTACGAATCCCTTTGAAATCCTCTTCTATTTTACTATTCTCATTCAAATTTTGCAACCCGCTTGATCTGCTTTTCAACGCATATTCAAACAAAAGGATGCAAATCCCTTGTATTCATGTTTGCGTGCTCTATTATACATTGTCAAAACTATACGTTGTAAAAATCATTGCTGGTAATTTTAAATTACTCATTAATAACATTGTTGTCATTATGTTTGACCACGGATTGTGCATATGCAATAATTTGTGTTCTCCTAGTTTATAGTTTCTATGGAAACTCAATATTTTAAAAAATTGTTTTGCGAATGCCAGATCATAGGATCTGTGTGATTTGGACAAGCTTTTCTAAATGTTTGATTACTTAGCTTAGAAGTTTGACTTGAATATGTTCCAAATATCAACTTCACAACTAACAGATTCCTTTTCACAAGTTCAAGGCTTAGCACCTTGAAGACATCATTCTTCTTTATAGCTATGATCAGAAAAAAAAAAAACATGCAGAGCCCTTTTGACAAGAAATATGAAAACATAAGGGAAAAGGAATAAAAGGAAGTCTAAGATCACAAAATGTAGAGATTACTTCTTTAGATAAAACTAGATTAGGTTGATCAATAGAGTAGTCACAAAAAATTGGATCTGAGATAGTAGAAAAAAAGTCTATAGTACAGATCTAGCTCCACAGACTTCCAAAACATGTACAGGTTGTAATTAGAAAACTTCAACTAGGCATTGTCACTAGTTTACAATCGATAAACATCAATAAAGTAATTTTGCTCATGAACATTGAGAAAACGGTCCCAAAATTTTGAGTTGAAGTCATATAAAGCAAAACTTCAGTGCATGACTAATCATACAACAGTAATAACATTCAACAAAAAAATTGCAAACAATTTGCAAATAAAATAATAAAGATAGTAGTATTGACTGAGAATTACAGTGAAAAAGGTGTTTGGCAAGTGTTTCGTTGGCCATATATTCAGCCACAAGCAACCTCTCTTCACCTTCACAACAGCAACCAAGCAAATTCACTAATCTGTGGTTTCGAAGTTGGCCAACAGCCCTTGCTTCTTCCTAAAGGGGAAAAAAAGGTTTAGGATTAATGATGAAGTTAAAAACAAAACAACTCAGCGTAAACAGGGGAATCATAGCTCAATTGGGATTTTTCAATTGGGATAAAATCACCAAATATTATAACTATCACAGGATTTTGGTGATCAGTCATAAGCATAACCACAAAATTTCACATAAAAATATAAAACGATTGATTCCAAAATTTAAAGAATATGAAGAACACAGTAAATGCAATGCAGCAGCAATGGCTAGGAAAAAACAGCTTAAACCAAAAGACTAGAAGCATTTTAAAAATCAATTGCTTCGATTTAGGTTAATTTTTATTTATAATATTGCATGCATCAATTTGTTTAGTTTGGTTCATGTTTAAGGTTTGAAGAAAAAATAATAAATTTGAAGGAATTGAACCCATGCCAACTAAAACCATTAAAAAGAAATATAACAATAATATCAAGCCTTTATCGCACTACGTGGGTCGGCTCCATGAATCCTTTGTCTCCATTGTGTCATTTTAAGAGTCAAATTCCCATTTAAATCTAATAAAATAATGATCATTTCTAATACTTTCCAACCAATCCTTTTCAAATCTACCTCTATCTTTATTAACATAGGTCAAATCTAATACATCTACCCTCCTAACCGGGTCATTGAAAGGTGGATGTTTTATGTGACCAAACCATCAAAGCCGACTCTCTCTAATCTTAACTTCCACTAGAGCTACTCCAACTTTTTCACGTATATAATAATTTCACATTCTGTCTCTAAGAGTGAAGCCACTCATCAACCCTATCATCCTCATCTCTGCAACACTTAACTTAATTTTATGCTTCTCTTTTAATGGCCAACATTCTGCGCCATAAAGTATTGCAGGTCTCACCACTATCTTATAGAATTTCCCCTTAAGTTTGAGGGCACCTTTCTATCACACAAAAGGCCGAATGCATTCCTTCACTTTAACCATCCAACTTAAATTATACTAATAATATCCTCATCTATTTCACCATCATTCTGAACAATCAACTCGAGATTTCTAAAATATGTCCTCTTATTAGTGACTTGATTGCCAAAAGTCACAATCCCCCCACTAGATCTATTACTACTAAAATTACATTCCACGTATTTGGTTTTAGATCTACTCGAACAAAAACCTTTAAACCCTAAAGTTGACCTCCAAAATTCAAGTTTATCTTCAACTCTAGTCTTATTAAAAAGAATGATATCATCAGCACAAAGCATATACTATAGTCAAATCTATTAACGGCGAATGGCGCACCATGGCGCAAATGTCCCTTTGGAGCCATGGCGCATAGCGCACGGCGAGCGCTATTTTGAACATGCCGCAAGCTATATAAAAATTATAAAATAATAAGCATGAATATGAAATATTATTAAAAATGAAAGACAAGCTATTATAATAATAAAAGACAACCATAACATATATAAGTTCGACTAAGTAACATCCAAATATCTCATATTTCAAATATTACAATCTTTTTTTTAAAAGATCAAATAAGAATTTAATCTACTCTTCTTGGGAATCATCATCACCAGCAAATGTTAAAAAAGCTTCATTATCTTCTTCAACATTTTCTCATACTTCATAATCCTCTTCATCACTCTCATCATCATCATTCTCAATAGCAACATCATACCTAATTGAAGATTCTTTCTCTTTCCCTTTAGATCTTTCCCGAATATTATAGCTTTTATCATAAACACCAGTAGCTTTAGCAACACTTATCCAAGTTAAATCTTCCTCTCCAGCAATAAAGTCAATTTCTTCATCAGACTCGTCATCTAATTTTTCTATTAGCCATTCATTTGCATCATCTATCTCAGTCAAAGAAATAGGATCAATGACATCAAGATAATTGAATCTCCGAATCAGTGCTCTATTATATTCCACATAGACTAAATCCTTTAAGCGACCATGATCTAATTTGCTTCTTCGTTTGCTATGAAGCTGCAATTAAAATATTATTACATTACTAAATTATGAACATATATAAAAAATCAACACATACATTATAAAATACTTACATGTTCAAAAATACTCCAACTGCGTTCGCATCTAGATGAACTATATATTAGACTTAGGACTTTGATAGCAAAGCTTTGTAAATTGGGAGCTCCTTGTCCATATGCCAACCACCAATCAGCTGGAAGAAATGAATTTTTTTTTTTCAATATTATATAACAAATCAGTCTTAATTTTTTTGTAAATAATGATACCTGGAGATCGGGTAGTTCTTTTTCTTACAGCTGGAGGAATACTAAAAAATCCTTCACCCCTAATGTATAAACTTAATTCATTACTAATTTTATCTTCTTCAGCTACATCTTGAGATAATCTTCCAATACATTGGTAAAGACCATCAGTTATTTCCTTATCCTTGGCAATATCAGGGTTATTGAAGAAATATTCAGGATTTAAAAAATGTCCAGCTGCATGTAGATGCCAATGTAATTGCACTTCCCATCTTCTATCAATCATTAAAAATTTGATCATACTTATCACTGTTATTGAAGCTTGCAGCAATTGCCTCTTTTGCTCTATCAATTGCTTCATATATGTAAGTCATTAGGGGCTTCTTGTCTCCATCAACCAATCTAAGAACCTTTAATAAATGACCAACTATTTTTAAGGCATACATTATAGTGTTCCAAAATGATTGTTGTAAGATTATATGTTGAGATTGTTTTGCTTTAGCCTCTTTCACATAAGAACCCAAGATAAATTCCTCACAAGTAAACATTTTCTTCAAGTTCAGTTGTTGTTGATGAAAACGTTGTAAAGTTAAGAAAGCTATTGCAAAGTAAGTCTTTGCGGGTTCGACAAGTGTTCTTTGATTTGTGCACCTTCTCATTAACTCAAGTAAGCGAGGCCTAGAATATATAAAACTGTGTACTGCCACTGCTTTCTCAAAGCATCGTCTTAGCTTTTGAGTTTTGAAAATGTCCTCCATTATTAAATACAAACAATGAGCAGCACAAGGAGTCCAATAAATGTGAGGATATTTATCCATCAATAATTTTCCTATTATGTCATTATAATTTAAGTTAAGATACATACAAATTCTTCATGAAATAACATAACTTTAGAATAAAAGTTGTGACAAACCTATAATAATATTTTCGGATGCATTATCAGTGACCACTTTGATCACATTATGTGGCTCAATAACCTCGATGTACTTGCAAAAAAGTTCAAACATTTTCACAGCATTCTTGGAGAAAGAACTAGCATCAATTGATTCTATGAATGCACATCTCTTGGATAATTAACAAGAAAATTAATTAAGCTTTTCCCATTCCTTGATGTTTATCCATCTGTCATTAGAGAACAACCATATCGTACACAATCTTCTTGATGGAGTCGCAATAGTTCATGTGTATATCCAACCTCTTTCTTCAAACAAGTAACTCGTACCTAATGATAACTAAGAGGTTTCATAACATGTCCAAACTGCCAAAGTGCCTCCACCATAGCAGGGAAACTATCATAGTTCACAGCATTAAATGGAATCCCAGCAGCATGCATCCATCTACTGAACACTTGAACAATCCTTTCCCTCATTTCTTTTTTAGCTGCATCCATTTCTTTGTTAAACTGACCTTTTTATGCTTTACTACTTCTTCAGGATTTGGTGTAAGGAAAGTATCTAATAGACCTTTAGATCGTTATGTTTTGAAGATAGATGTAGATGTCGATCATTGACTAGATGTGTTAGATTTATTTGTCCGCAATATTTTGGATGGTTTACCAACTAAAATATCATCTGTCATCACATCAAAGTCTTCTCCTTCTTCTTCAGCAAGGTTGACATTTGATATGTCATTAAACTGTTCCTTCAAATCTTTTTTTTTCAACATGGATGCCTTAATTTCAGACTTCACGTGCTAGGGACAGTTAGAGCAAGGCCTTGCATTCCTAAAACCCCCAACGATGTGTTGTTTGTGGCGTGTAATTCCTCTTTTGTTATTTTACCACAAAAAATGCATGTCAGACTGTTGTTGTCGGATTCATTTGTTAGTATAGCATATTTCCATGCTGGATCTTTTTTTAAAGATTGAACTGAATCTGACATTTTATGATCACCTAAAAGCAAACAAATTTCGATAAAAGAAACATAATATTGTCCAAGAAACATAATATGGGGGCTGCCGGGGGTCCAAGGGGGTGCTGCCCCCTGACGGGATTCGAGCATTTACATAGCTGTACCGAGCGATATCATGCATGTACTTAGCGATACCGAGCGTGTACCTAGCTGTACCTAGTGTGTACCTAGCGGAACCGAGCATGTATCTAGCGGTACCGAGCAAGTACATAGCGGTACCGAGCAAGTACATAGCGGTACCGAGCAGTATCCATTATATACATAGTGATACCAAGCATTTACTTAGCGGTACCGAGCATGTACCTAGCGGTACCGAGCATACCTGTTAAGTTGTAAATTCTTGTATGAAATAGCCGTGCAAAACAGAGCTGTGTGGAACAGATGGAGGTTGCAAATCGGAGTCAGCTGGTAAGATTTTTTATTGGAACAAATGAATAAGGGGCGGATTTGGCAGAAGCACTGCTCTGCGGGACGATTCGGCGCAAACAACGACTTCAACTTCGGGACAGATTCGGCTGGATTCGGCGGAAGCAGCGAATGCAGCAAACAGAAAACAGAAAACCTTCGACTTCGGGATAGATTCAGCGACCTCAACTTAGGGACTGCGGGATGTGTTCGGCAGATGCAGCAAACAGAAAATCTTTCGTGAAATTAAGGCAATGAATAGTCATTTATCTTAAAATATAAATATATTTTTTAAATATAAAAAATATTCATAAGTATATCGAAATTTAAAAATAATTTGGCGCGCTATTTTGCGCTGTGCGCAATGCGCCATGACTCACATGTGCGCAAATAGCGCGCGCTATTTTAAACACATGCGCCTCACCATGAACATGGCGTCGTAGGTGCGCCGCGCCGTGTTGTGCGCCATGGCGTGTGCTATTTTGCGCCATTGACAGCTATGACTATAGTACATCATTTTTCAAATGTCTAGTAACAACATCCATGACTAAAGCAAAAAAGATATGGGCTTAAAGATGATCCTTGATGTAATCCAACTGAAACGGAAAAATACTTAGTCAATCTTGTGTTTGAAAGTAATAGCTCCTGCATCCTTAATGACTTGAATATAAGAATTATTAACCCATTTCTCTTCTAAAACTCTCTAGAAGCACTTCATTTAAAACTTTATCATAATCTTTCTCTAAATCAATAAATAGCATATGTAGATACTTATTCTCTATATACTTCTCCATCAAACCTCTAAATAAATGTATAGCTTCCATAGTAGACATACCCGGCATGAATACAAATTGATTTTGAGAAACATTAGTATCACGTCGTAACTTATGCTCAATAACTCTCTTCCATTAGGAAAAAAGTAAATTTTAGTTTCAAACTCTATAAAAAAATCCAAACCAAATAGTTAGTTTTAGATTTCCCTATTGCTAGTCTCTATTTCAATTTCCAATTTCACGTTTGGTTAGGTTTTGACTCCAAAGTGGTCAAAATCAGACCAAATAGAAACGTGGACACTCAAAGTCCCAAGGTATTAACTTAATAATGCTGATTATAAATAGAGAGAAGATACTTCATAAAGAGCGCCTCCAGTCGCAATAGTAACTTAACAGTTTCAGTGGTACTATTCAAACTTCAGTTCATTGTTTCTAAGGAAAAAAGGCAAAGTTCATTAATTGAAACAAAACAAAAAAAATTATAATAACAGAACAAACAAATTATGCAAAAAATTCTTCAACTTTAAGCAAAACAACAAGTGTACAGAAACAAATTATGCTGAAAATGATAATAGATCTTAAGCCATAAAACAGAATATGGCATCAGATCTCGAGAAAAAAATAATAAGCACCTCAAGAGAGCATTCATAGTCACTAAGTTTCATACATCTCAACAATCTAAGCAAACACCAACAACCTAGACTACTATGACTATGGTATAAACTCATGTTAGAATACAGATGAACCTCGTTTGAAATAAGAATACAGCATATGTAAACAAGAAGTCTGAATCCTCATATGCTAATGATTTGATTAGAGTTTAATCAATGGTTTGCATGGAACAATTCAACACACCGTAAAATTAGACCCCAAGAACTAATATTTGAGCTGATAGTTTCATGGCTAAGTACTAAAGAATCTGATGCCTGAACAATTATATTGTGGTGGAGAGTGCCCTTAATCCTTATGATGCTCAACTCAGTGGAAAAATGTTCTTCACACAATCAAAAACTGCGTCCCAAAAAAAAAAAAGGTGCTGCACCTTTCAGAGGCTTTAAATCCCAATATCTAAAAATGGCAAAAAATCCATACCAAGAACTGACGAGGATCGGGCCACGCAGATCTGTTAAACCTCTTAACAGCAATCTTCCTCCGAGCATCCAGCTTTCCCCTATACACCACATTGGGAGCTTTCTCCCCATGTTCAGAAACAATATTCTCCGCCGCAAACCCCGACGTCGCCACCCTGAGCTGCTCAAATGAGAACTCCTGGAACGGCTGCAATTGATAACCATCGAGCTTATCTTCCCCCTCTGCATCACAAAACACAATATCACAAACCACATGAACAAATCAAAACGCCCTAACCCAGTAACCCTAGCACTCACCGACGTCCGAAGCTTCCAGAATCGACGTCTTCTTCTTCTTCGAACTCCAGCAGCACGCAAGCAGCTTGGAGCTCCTCGAACCCATCCCAAAAAAAGCAACCTCGCAGCTCCTGCTCAAGCTGCTGAAACCACCGCAGCTATTGAAAACTGAAACCCAAAACTTTCCAAATCAACAAACTACCAGCTTCAAACCGAAGGAGAAGCAAGAAGTACCTGATGATTGAAAGCAGATGAAATCGTACTCCGCCAACTCAGTAAGTAGATCGGATCTCCACCTCTTCACGATAATTATTCGCGAGAAAAATGTCTAAAAATCCGAGTTTTATATACCGACATCCCGTCCTTTCAAAACCCTAAATAACGATTTTGCTCCATTATTCTATTCGCCACCGCTTCGCAGTTTGAAAAAAAAGACAATTTTTTTTCTCGTCAGCGGCCGTCGACGAAGATAGTCTACTAGCTTCTTTGCGGCTTCCTCGCAGCCCGCCGCCATGGCGCCGAGCGAATCACGTGAGCCGCGCGTGACGCGGCCGGCTCATCTCCGCCGTCGACTTGGTGGACCCATTTACCAGAGAGCGCTCCCTTCGTATGAGTGAACAGTTAAGATGATGTGACTGCGGTTGGTGTGAGGAGAAAAGAGGAAGTCATTAACGGAGAAAATGGGCTTAATTTTGTAATTATTAGGGGGTTTAGGTTTTTTTGGAAGAAAAAATATGTGGGTTTATTTAATTAATCAAGACTTTTGGTAATGATAATTATAGTAAAGATATTAGAAATATGTTGTCTTGTGGTTTGCTAGTTTTAGTGAAGGAGAATTAATTAGTCTCGTTTGATAACAAGATTAATTTAAATTGAGATTTTTTAGTTTCAAATCTATGTTATATATATATATATATACAAAAAATGAAACAAGTTTTTTTTTATTTTGAAACTTTTATAACATTTATGTTAGAATGAAAAGTTAAATACAAATGTTTAGGAGCACTTCGCATATAATTACATAAAATTTAGGAGAATTTAAAATACATCGTCAACACAATGCATGAGACTTTTTTTTTGATTTGGTTCAAAATTCAAATAATGATGATAACAATTTTTAAGAAACACCTATAAATGATATATACAAACAAAGTCAATATTGATATGATAGTGATTCCCTTGTACTTGATGTGCAATGTGATCCTATCAATATCAAATTAGAAATTTCTTATCCAGATAATCCACCAGAAGGCAATCAAATGACAATCAACAATCAAAACCCAATGAAGATCCTTCTCTTGAAGAATTAGTTCAAGTTAATTTTTGTAGTGCTAAAATTTTACCTCCACGAACTACAACAACTGATAAAGGGAAGCAAGTTTTAGAAAAGATACCAATCAACTTTTTTTCTTTTTAAAAGAGGGTTAGCCAAGCAAGCCAACCCTATATCATCCATAAATTATGTCTGTCTTATGTCTTGATAACCATACAGCGCCGATCAATTAATAGATGTATGTAGCATACATGGCCAACCGACCCTTTTTTAGAAGATATCAATCAACTTCAACAAGCTCAACAATCAAATATAGATAATACAGAAATTCTTAAAAAGTGAACTACAACATGTTAGCTCACCTTAGAAAACTGCCTGTAAAATTGAGTATTTATGATGCCCTGGTTATTTCTCAACAACCAAATATAGAGAATACCTTGTCTTGCTTACCCAATGGCCGGCTCGAGCTCAAGTTAAGCTCATATGGCGAGCTAAAACTTCACTCACCATAATAGCTGCGAGCTCAAGCTCAAGCACCCAAAAGCAAGGAAGTTGCGATATGAACTCTTTAGGGATGGTATCAACAATAACAACTCTGAGAGAGTAAATAATAACAAGATATCACCAAAGAATGCATCAATGGAACTAGTGAGAAGTTACGACAGGAGCTCACCACATGAGCCAAAATCATATAATTACATGATTTTTATATTATTAATAAAGATCATTTGCCCAAATCAGATCTTATTAAGAGAGAGAGAGAGAGAGAACTTGGCAAATCAAGAGGGATCAATAAAAGACAAGATATTTGACTCCATTGATTTAAATAAACATATCCATGAATCCATCCTTATTTAAAATTCAATCTGTAATGGTTTTTCCAAAACATCCATAATCCAGTATTTTTATGTTAAAGTCATTTGGATTGTTTTGTTTTTTAAGAGATTCTCCATCTATAAGATGTTGTCTTTGATAAATCAAATCTCTATCTATTATATCACAAAAACAAACTATATATAAGAATCAAATTAAATTAATTTAATGCTTCATTTGAAACAATTTTTTACTATTTTTAAAGTAATTTTTTAATATAAAAAATTTCTATTTCAATAAATTTATCTTTAAATTTCTTGCTTTTCAAACAAAACCTAAATTTATGATCTATTTAAATTTTTTTAAAAAAAAAACTTTGAAAGAACTGTTGTTTAAGGACAATTTAAAATGATCCATAAAGCATATTTCTGATTGTTTTTAGAAATTAAGTGCGAAAGAAATTCGATTAAAGATCTTCCAAAAATTTTATCAAGAAAATAGCTAGTCAGACCATGACATCATTTCAACTTTATGATGAAAAAGGTGAAGCTCATTCAAACAAAAGTCTTAATTTTCTAACCTAAAAATGTTCATTGTTTTCTAGAAATATTAACAACCTTTTACTGCTACAAACCTAATAAAGCATGAAAGCAAGCTTCATCACGCTTTCTTTATTAGTGTTTTTTGAGAAAAATGAGAGCCGAGACTCAGTTAAATTAAAAATGAATCAAAGAGTTGTAAAGATATACATCCAAACAATAGCAAATATGCCCAACAACATCGTTATTACTTAAAACTTAAAAAAGAATAGCTAAAATGAGAAAGATAATTAAGGAATTAAAAAATGAGGAATAGGGACCCAAAATAATTAGTCAAAATGGAGTGCTTAAAAAAAGTCCAAAATAGATGGCTTACAATAAACTAAGCAATAGTTCAATGACAACTTCACGCAAAAAAATCCATTGAAAAAGAAGTTCATACGTCACCAAGATATATGCCAATATCAATGAGAGAGTGCCACCACTACCACAACAATAAAACAAATCCGAAAAAATTTATATGAAATTATAGTCAAATTAAAATTTTCGTATAAGAAAGTTCTTATGAAAAGTAATAAGAAAACTATTTCGAATAAAGTCTAAAGCATATTCGTGAAATTGTTAGATCTTATTTTTTATGTAAACTGATCCTAAGCAACACAAAAAATTCAATTAAAATATATATTACACCTATCTCAAAATAAATACAAACTTTTAAGATCCTATCTTGACAAAAAAAATGATCAATAAATCCCCCAACTATTTTTTGCATGAATATATTAAATGCAGTAAAAGTCGTGTTCCAAGCCTCTGATCGAAGTTTGGGCAAATTAACTTGTACTAATTTTAAAAAATGTATATCATAAAATCATCAAAAGTGGTTAGGTTCCTAGAAAAGAAAGTGTTCTTGCACCGTGTATGTACATGAAAATGAAGGGGATCCTTGATGAAACTAGATTTTTTCTACATTAAAAACCCCACAGATCTTCTGAGTTTTAAAGGAAGCGTATTCATGGACTATGCTGAGAAAGATATTTAATATACAAGAAATACCTATACAGGCCGCTAGTGTTCCATATTTGCTGAAGCTTCATGAGTTTCCTGGGGTGGTTTTGATCTATTGAAAGATTTTTGGGTTTCTAACACAGGCATATAAGGAGCGGTTGATTTTTGAAAAAGATCAGAAGCAGGTTTCTCAGATTCACGTGGGCTTACCAACATCTTCTCCACTTCTTCAAACTTAGCGGTGGCCCATGGTGCGGTGCCAACATTCCCGGTGATATTAGGCGCATCGATCGTCAGTGATGAAATGGCATCTCGAGGTGCATACCATGTGTGACCACATGCAATGCACTCTAGCTGTGTATAATTTGATGAAACGATAAAAAGAAAATAATCAGCAATTCTTTCAAGAAAAATAAACAAGGTTTTGAAGGTGGAGCAATACCTTCTAACAGCAAAGGACAATAAGGTTTCTGGTATATTATGATGATTCATAATAATTGTTAAACAGGAATGCTTTTTAAGTTACTTCTGGAGTAAACGATAAAGAAAACTGCTTTTTAAGGTACTTTGGAGTATTACTGTCCAACTCAGACTCTCTGATTGAGGCTTTGTTTGGGACGGCTTTCTTACTTCTTCTTAAAACAGCTTTTTAGTACAAAAATTTAAATTTTTTACTAAAAAACTGCTTTATGAAGCAGTAAGAAAGCCGTCCCAAACGAAGCCTGAGTTCAACAAGTCTAACAAGTGCTGGAAATAAAGAGCATGTTACGGTGGAGAATGAGAAGCAAGCCACATTCAATTAGATGCCCAAACATTCCAAAATGCATCCGTCTCCCAAGACATCTAAAATTATTGTACTACCAAAAACTATAAACTATCTTACAAAATTTATTTTGTGGGGAAATTTGAGGGCCTTAGCCTTAGCCGATTTCCATTATAAAAGATGATTACATGAGGTCGAAATATCAAAATACAACTCAATGGGTTACAAAAAGAATCAAATTTGAGCACTAGCAAAATTATACAATGTTTAAAATAAGAGAACATGTAAAAGTGAAAGAAGAATAATCCAAAAAGCTGGACTCAGAATTCAAAAATATCACCAATTAGTAATTAAACACAATCAACAATGTAGATTTGCATCCTCGGTTGCCAAATATGCAGAAGATAACCTTCTTGATAAAATAAGGTGAGGGCGTCATTCTCTACCGTTGATCAGATAGGATATATCAGCGTACAAGGTGTTTGATTTCCAGAACGGCAGAACCCCTTCCCAATTTTGAAATTGATTGCTCTCTTAATACTTAGATGGATAGTATGGCTCTCAATGTCATTCCCAAATCTTCTCCCATTTCTATCTTACAAAAGTGCTATATAAATTATTGTTAAATTTAGAGAATTCGAGAGGAAAAAACTTAATCATATTATACAAAACTATCTCTATTTATAGATCTATATAAGATATCTTAATAAAAAAACAAATAAATACAAAATCATGCATAAATGACCTAATATAATCCTTCCTAAATCAGCCACCCAAATATGGGAGGAGATCAACGTGATCCAGGTGAGCCTCCCCCGGATTCCCATCCTGGGTGTGGGATCAAGGGCCAAGGTATGGCTGAGATTTAACAGGGTGGTCTAGATAAACCTCCCAAGGATCCCCATGCAGTCATGAGATCAAAGGCCAAGGGACAGTTGAGATTTTAACACTCTCCCTCAAGCTGGGGAATACATATATGTCATTCCCAGCTTGGTAATTAATCCCAAAAAAGTAGAGTTATGAAATCACATGGTGCATCATAGAGTCCTCCATTTGGTCAAAACTTTGGGATGAATTATGATGCGGACATCAATACGAAGATTTGGCGCATCTATCACAGGCGGCGTCGTAAATCGACGACCATTATTTAAATTTTCATTTATGTATTATTTTCTGAATTTTAGCTCTTGTTT